CCCAGTTTGCTGCACGGCAGCCACACAGGGACGAGCTCCGGTTGCTCTCGTGTGGACGAAGAGGCCAGGACACGGGGCTGGAGCGGTCAGCCCGGGAGACACAGCCGGGAAGGGCCGGCCCGGGACTCATCGTGGGGCTCGTCGGCCCAGGTGCTGGACCCAGCGTTTGGGCACCTCCGTCGCTCCCGGCTGTGGGCCCAGGGCCGGCCTGCAAACGCGTGGGAGGGATTCCACAGGAGGGGCCGGAGGAGGGTGCATCCAGGTTGCCGGGGACTCTTAGAGAGCGTGTCAGAAATGGGGAACCTCAGGACAGAAACCACGTCAGGACTGAGAAGCTGCCGTTTAGGGCACATTTGTGTATTTTTCAAACCAGAGGCTGGAAGGTGTCTTTCCTGAAAGCCCAGGTAGGAAGGGGCTTGGCCTGTCCTGAGGGAGAGAGGGACACTTTGTTTAGGGCACAGCAGCGGTCCCCCGACTGCCGCCTCCTCTGTGGTCCTGGGGCTGCAGGAGAACCTACAGGGCGAGGCTGTGCCCCATCCGGTTTCAGGGTGACTGGGGCCCAGGGCACTGCCAGTTCAGAGGGACGTGCTGACCGGGCTTTAGGAAACTCCCTGGAACACCATGGGGTGCAGGCGGGGCTGCCTCCTCCTCCTCTTCTGGGTTGGACCCAGTCCCCAAAGCAGCAGTGGGGTTCGGTCGCTTCTGGATCATTCTCTCAGTCTCTGTTCCTCTCTGTGTGTCTCGTTTTCCTCTCTCCTCTCTCCGTCCAGGCTTTTCAGTCACTGGGCGATGTTTTATTTTCATTTCTTTGCTTCTAGGAAACTCCATTTTGAAACAGCAACACACAAATCTCCATACATTCAAGTTGTGGCATCTTACCCGAAATGTGAAGACCCACTGTGCCCTGGAGTGTGTGGGGCAGCTCTTGGGAGAATGCTGGTCAGGGTCTGGAGGGGACAGCGGGTCGCGTGAGGGTCAGTGCTCCTCAAATCTGGGTCAGGGACCTCCCCGGGCAGCCCACCCAGGGCCAGGCCCGCAGAACCCAGGCCAAGCAGGGGCGGGGGGTCCTCAGGCTCCAAACCACTGGGACCAGGTGGGGTGTGGCTCCAGGAGCGGGGGGCCGCACGGCACAAGGAACGTCCACTCCAGACCTGCTGACCGTCTCAGACTGCCGTTCGTGCTGGCCCTCTGAAGGCGATGTGCAAACGTGGGCACCGCTTATAATGCCGTCCGATTCCTGGGCAGCCTTTGTGGTCAGCTCAGGGAGCCAAACACGCACAGGGCGGCGAGGGCCCCGGCACGCCCGTGACTGCTGGTCGCCAAAGGCGGGGGACACGGGGCATAAACGACGGGTCTTCTGTTTCTGGTTACCTGGCAGCCCTGGAGGCTCCGCCGCGGCTCCCTGGGCTCCTGGGCCGGCAGCCGGCCTGTGCCTGTGCCCTCCCGGGAGTGTCCTGTTCGGCGAACTTGCCCAGGCGTCCAAGTGCAGCAGCTTTTCCTGAAAGGACTGAGGGGCTGGAGTCTCCTCGCCCAGGACGGGAGCCAGGGCCTCCCTAAGCTCCTCCGAGTCTTCATTCCCCTTAGTTTCCACGAGGCTCAGGTGTCTGTGCTGGTGTGTGGGTGGGAAGGCCCAGGCTCTGAGAACCCAACTCGGCTGCCAAGGTCCCGCCGTGTGTAACGGGGAGACTGGGACGCTGGTGCGGACGCCCGGAGTCCAGAGCCTCCGCTCTGCCCCGAGGTGCAGCGGCTCTCACGGGGAGGAGTGGGCAGCTCGGAACATCTTTGAGCTCCAGCGGGGAGGGGAGGGGGCCGCCCGCATTCTCCGGCCTCTCTCTTTATGTCACTTGTCTGCTGTGCCTCTTGCACCTCCTCCCCGCACCCCGCCCCCCTCTGCCGCCCCCAGTACCCTCCCTGCTCCCCACCGGTTCCAGTTCACACCCGAAGCTCGGGCAGCCATCTGTTCCCCGGCCCTGGCTGCCGAGGCCCCTCGTGGCGTCCGGCCAGCTGGCAGGCGGTGCTGGCTCCTTGGACGGCGTTGGGCAGCGGGCCCCGGCTCCGCTGGCTCCGAACGCCCGCTGAGGCGCAAGGCTGCGCGCTAAATGCCGGCTGCGGGTGCCGTGGGTGGGGGCCTTCAGCTTGGCAGGCGCAGCCGCTGTCTGGGCCCAGTGATCGCATTTAATCCGAGTGGTGATTTATTGTGTGGTCGTCATCGGCGGCCCCCGCCCACCCAGGCCAGCACAGCCACCTGCCGGCCGCACTCGGGAGATGAGGCGGCAGTGGCCTCAAGGTCCTCCTGGTGCCGTGTGGGCCGAGCTCTGTGCTCTGACCGGCCCGCAGCAGACGTTGGGGACGGTGAGCGGCAGGGACGTCTGCTGAGCCCTGTCTCAATCCAGGTGACACCAGAATGTGAGAGTGTGTGATGAGTGTCACGTAAGGAACGACCCGGGCCTTGTAAGGAGCGGCTCCGTGGGGGTGGGGCAGGGTCCTCGTCCTGGAGAGCAGCCGGGGCCACCAGGAGTGGGTGGGCACTCGGACGTCTCTGAGGTCTGGTACGTGGGTTTCTCCCTGTTTTAAAAACATTATATTTATTAATTTGTAGGAGACAGCCAGAGGGCAGGGAAGGACAGGAGACACCGATTGGTTCTACTCATCTCTGCACTCATTCCTTGCTTCTTGTATGCGCCCTGACTGGGGGTTGAACCCACAACCTTGGTGTCTTGGGATGACACTCTAACCCACTAACTCACCCGTCCGGGGCCAGGTTTCTTTTATGGGGAGGAGTGAATCAGACCAGGTAGGAGATGAGAGAACGTTCACCTGGGGCCGGCCTGTCCCCTGGAGGGCGTCTGCTGTGACCTGAGGGGTGGCGGGCCACAGCTTAGGGACTGGGGAGGGGCAGAAGCTGACAGGTGTGGATGGCCAGTGTCCTGTGGGTCAGCCAACCATGGCGAGACCCAGCTGTTCTCTGATTTGGCTGGAACCAACCTGGCGGCTACAACTCTCACCGGGAAGTGTAGGGAAAAGTGTGAGGGCTCGGGGCAGACGACAGGAGTGCAGCGAGGGGTAAGGGCATAAGTGAGGGGTGGGAAGCAGCGTTGGGGAGGCCTCAGGGCAAAGCAAGCAGTTCGGCCTAGGAGCGGCCGGGCCGGGCCCCACGGAGCCAAGCTCTGCCTGTGGCTGGTGGCACGGAGGTCGGCCACACACTGAGTGAGGTGTGAAGGCTGATCCTGGGGGCCGGTGTTGTGGGCACGGTGACCCTGGGGCCGGGGGAGCCTCTGGACCTGCCCCAGGATGAGGACGAGCTCGGCCCTCATTCCTCGGGCAGGCTGAGCACAGCTTCCTGGGCCAGGCGAGAGCAGGGCGGGGCCTCGGGAAGGCTCGGGCCGGGGCTCTGCCCCCTGCAGCCTGTGTCTGTGGAGCAGTGGTGTCTCTCGGGGCTTTGACCCTTCACCGTGGAGTCCGTAACACTGTGTGATAGTCTCAGCCCACAGAGACCCAGCAGTGGACGCCGGGGAGGTGCGTCGTGGTCCTGCCACGCACTGGACCGTGGCTCAGCCACGGGCAGGAGCAAGGCCCCTACACCTGCTGCAACGTGGAGGGACCTTGAAAACCTGGTGCTGAGTGAGAGACGCTGGACATGGAGGCCGCACAGGGTGCGGTTCCGTGTCTAGGAAATGGGACAGGCAAGTCCACAGAGACAGGAGCAGACGGGTGGTTGCCGGGGGCAGCGGGGAGAGCCACTGCTCACAGGAGAAACATTCTGAAACTAAATACTGCTGACACTTGCACAACATTGTGACTGTACCTAATGTCACAATGTTGCAGCTTCAAAACGGTGAGTTTCATGGTGCGTGCTCCTGGGGAATTTGGCAGAATGGTGGGCTTCTCCAGGTTGGGTCCCCACCTCCTCTGCCCACGGCAGCTTCTGCAGTTTTATTGGGAACCTGAACAGGGAGCCGTTTCGTGCCTGATTGGACAATTTAGCCCAAATCACATTCCTCTAGGAAGATCAGGAGAAGGCACCATGGGGACTCCTAGATTCCCAGGAGGGCGCTGCTCCTGTGAGGGACCCCGTGTTCCTCCTCTGACAGGGCCTGTCCTGATACCGGGGACTTTTTTGCCGAGGGCAGAACAGCTCCCCAAGGGAGCGGACGTGCCTCAGAAGGGAAGAGGGACGAAGGCCACCGTGCGTAGTCTGGATGCCCTGACCAGGCAGACGCAGGTTTTCAACTTTGCTTTTGTTGCCAATGTTGAAAACCAGAGCACAAAAATTTCCCACGGTATCCAAACGCCTGACAGTTTTCTTAAAGAAACAAACACACGAACCAGAGGCATCGTCCTCTGTGTTTCTGTGCAGCCACAGCTGGCCCCTCAGTTCTGCACCCCGGTCCCCACTCCTGCTTCCTTCGCCCCGTGACCTGCCCTGGGTGCGTTCGGCATGCTGTCGGGTCGCCAGCTGGGGGTTCTCGCTCCACCGGGGCTGCAGCTCTGAGCTTCCAGGACAGGGGCAGGGACTGGAGAGCTCCCAAAGGGCAGAGCAAGGACAAGGGGGCTCCCTGGATGGGGGGGTGCCTTCCTGCGCATCACGTGACTGTGAGTGCCCCCTGCTGCCGGCCCGCAGCCACCCTCAGACTCACTGATGGAAAACCGCTTCCTGTTCCATAAACAGCCCTGCCCAGCGGGTGCTCTGATTGGCTTGATGCGACCTACTGGGCGCCCAGGACTCAGCAAAATCACCCCGTTACTGCCGGCCCTGCGGGGAGGACCGCCTCCATCACGGGGGAGGGGAGCGGGGGGGGGGGCCGCCCTCACGCCAGCCCCTGGGAAGGGGGGGGTACTGCCTGCGAAATGGGCCGCACGGGCCCCACGTGCGTCCCAGCCACCAGCTGCCGCTCCAGCTCCTGCTGATAAATATTTAAGTGGTGGTTCAGCTTTCAGACCGAGCGCCGTCAGCAGCAAAGGTCAAGCTTTTTGACCTTTTGTCAATTTACTCGGTGAAATATGACTCTCCCGGTCCCTGTTTTCTAGCCGGGTTGTTTCCTTTGAAACGACGGCCTTTTCTCCCCACACAGAGGGGAGGAGACGCAAGACCTTCTGTGTCTCTTGTAAACGTACAAACACGAGCAGCAGAATTCCCGTTCTGGCCCACGGAGCTACGTGCTCGTCCCGTCTCAGAGCTGATGTTTCAGAACCTGAGGCAGCAGGTCGGCGTCGCCCTCAAAGTCGAAATGTAAGCCCTGCGGCTGCGCTGGTCCCCCTGAGGCGCGGTGGCCTCCCTCCGGAGCCCGCTGATGTCAGTGCTGGGCGGTCAGCGCAGAAGAGGGGAGAGGGTGGTGCGGGGAACTGGAGGCCTCCGGGCTCTGCCCGGCCGCGCACCGCTCTCCCTCCAGGTGTCCGCGTCCCAAACGCGGCGTGGCCGTGTCCGGAGGCGCTCTGATGATCTCCGATTCTGAAAAACCACCTCTGATTTAGAACGTTTTCAGCACGGGTGTATTTACAGCAGGATGAAATATGTACCAAGGGGAAGCTCTACAAGGAACACCCTGGGAGGCTGCTTTAGCAGCGTCAGAGCTGGGAGACAGGACCCTTTGTAAGAGACAGTTAAGGCTCATGGTTCGAACAGGGGCCTCCTGAGCATAATAAAGCGAAGCCACCTTATTTGCTCTCCCTGCCCCTGCCACACCCTCTCCATGAGCCGGTTCCTTCCTGTCCCCGCAGACAAAATCGCAGGTCGATGCCACCGACTCTTCCCGGGCAGGGACGAGCCCTCTTGGTCCCTGGTCCCCGAGTAGCGCCCGCCCGTTTGGTGATCAGAACACCCAGTGCCACGCCCGGGCTCATGGAAGCAGGGTGCTCCCCCTGCATCCTCCTGGACCCGGCTGGGTTGAGTGCGCACAGCGTGTGTGTGTGGCGCGGGCAGGGAGGTTGCTACTGCCCCGTTTCCTGGCTGTCATCTGCCGTCATCTGTGTGGCGGCTGCTGACGTGTCCCGGCGTGGCCTGCGTGCCCCTGAAGGGCAGCTGCCCGAGAGCGGGGCTCCGGTGCCTCAGAGCAGGGGCTGCCTGGGCCAGAGTGATTGTTAAGCTGGTAACAAAGGACCCCCCCCACCCAAATTGAATCGCCAAGCATTTTAAAAAGTAAATGTTATGTATTTAAAATTGGGGGTGGGGAGGCAAAGAGAAAAACCAAAATTGCAATACTCACTGGACATGAAGGGCAATGAGAAATTTTTCTGGAAAGGCCAGGTAGTAAGTGAGCTCACCTGGAACGCTGTCCTGTCTCTGTTGCAGCTGCTCACCTGTGCCATGGGTCACATGTCCATAAGTGGGTGTGACCATGTGCCAATAAAACTTTATTTATTGTGCAGACGGGGGTGGGGGGCAGTGGAGGGCCGTAGTTTCCTGACTCCTGCTGTGTGGCAGTCCCCAGGATTGGCACAAACTGTAGTCAGAGGGAAGACCCTAGTCTGTTAAGACCCAAGACTTTCTCCGTTGCCTTCCTTGCTCCGGTGACACAGAGCTGGTGCTTCCAGTCTTTGTTGACAGTGCAAAGGCCCTGCTGGTGTTTAGGTTCCGGCTCATAAACAGGATTTGTTGGAAACCCTCGACCGAGGACCCTCACAGAGGGCTGGCTCAGAGGCTGGTGCAGGTCTGTTCAGGGAGACTGGGGGGCCCCTGCCCTGGGCTGTCCTGTCGTGGGGGCTGTGTCGGGCCTGAAGGTGGGCCGTCCAGGTTGAGCTCTCTGCCTCGACCCCCTCGTGATGCGACCTGGAATAAACAGCTGCATTCAGGGCGACTCGTGTTCTCCTCTGTAGGGGGGCGTGGTCCTCTCCTCCCCGCTTACCCGGGTCGGGTGGGGGTTCCACGACCAGCGGGCCAGCAGAACCTTCCCGGCACCTGGGAAGAACTCGGGGAGGCCCAGTCCGACTCCCCAGTGCCGCCGCCTGTCTGTTGTGGTTCCTCATTTCACTCTTACCGTTTACATGGGTCTTTCCGGGGACCCCTGGGGCAGCCAGCGGGGACCGTGAGGCGTCATCGAGAAGCCGTTTCCCTGCAGAGCGAGATCGGAAAGTGCCTGTCTGCGGGGGACACAGGGCCCAGTGGTCCCTCCTGGAAGCTCGGCTGACAGGGACCCCCGTCCCACCTCCCAGGTGGTTCTTCCTGCCTTGCAGTGTGAGGCTGCCTCAGAGCTCCTGCCTGTGGCGGGGACGGCGCAGGCGGCTCTCTGTCTTCCCACGGGAGGCTGGGAGCATTTTCGTTCCAGACGGTGCCACTTGAGGCCTCCCCGGTGTGTTCCTCCACAGCCCTGGGTGGGGGTGGGGGGGGCTTGCACTATTCTCAGTGTTTCCTTTTGGGGCCCAGGCCTGTGTTGTTAGAGATGCGAACTGGGGAAGTCAGTTGCCTGTTTTTGGGGAAGCGACTCTCCCGGTCCCCATCACCACTCCCTGCCCCCAGAAAACTAAACTGCCCTGGGTTGAGAAAGCAACCAGAACCTTCCCCGCTGGCTGCATTGGTGAAAGGGGTCTTCGGACAACTGGGTGAACAGAGGTCAGCGTCTGTGTTTGAAAGCCCAGTCTTCAGAAAGCTTCCTGTGGATTTCCAGTGCAGCCAGGGAAGGGCCCGAGTGTCTCCAGGAGGGGCACAGGGCCCCTGGGGGAGGCTTCCGGTCCAGTGCCGGTTCCCAGATGCCCGGCCAGGCGGGGCTCACACAACCTCTAACCTCCCCCCGTCCTGGCTGCCCAGGCCCAGGGTGTGTGGGGGCCATGGAGAGAAGGGGCCTGGGTCTCCAGGTGGCTCTACGGAGGGAGGGCCACCACCAGCTAGGGCCACCAACAATGCACCGTTTTGTAAGAAACGAATGCGGGACCATGGGGCGGTCATTCCACCTTGCAGCCTGCTGTTCCTTGCTCTGAGCTGACGACGACCTTTAAGACTGTGTCCCACACGTGGCCTGTCTGATTGATCCTGTGTTAAATCAGGCGCCCTGCTAGCTCATGGCAGCGCCCCTGCTTAGGGCCGAAACTTGAAACACCCCCACCCTGCCGATCTGTCGCTGTCTGACCGCAGCAGCGGGTGTGTTCGTGTCCAGGGTTGGTGCCGGAAGAGTGAGGGCCTCCCCAAACATAGTGCAAGGTGGGGCTGGAGCGGGTCATTAGGAGCCCGGGAGACAGGAATTCCTAGCCCTCAGGGTGCGAATGTGCTGGGGTGAGGCAGGAAGTGCTGTTCACTGGGCCTGGCGTTTTTCCTGTTGCTTTAAAAGCTTTGGAGTACAAACAAGGCTACTTAGTGATTTGAAAGCGCGTTAATGAATCCACTTAGTTCGGGGAGGACAGACCAGAATGCAGGTAGAGGCTTTGCCTCCGCTTTCTGTTGTTTGGGAACCTTTCCGTTGAAAGAAAACGCGTCTGAGAGCGGCGTCAGCCCTCCAAGTCGCCTGGAAGCGTGGCGGCCGGGGCACATTGGCTCGCCCGCCCGGGTCCGGGGGCTCACTGCCGCAGCAGCCTGGCTGCCCATCGTCCTTCTCCGTGCTGCCTGCGGGCCACGCTGGGCCCCAGTGCGGTCACCAAGGCGCCCCAGGCCACGTGCCTCTCATTCAATTCCGCCGGAAAGAACTTGCCCGATGGCCGTTCACTCGGGCCCGCTCTGGGCGCAGGCCCACTCCCGGGACACTGTCAGCTGGCTTCTCGGCCCGGTCGGGCTGCGATGCCTGCGTGGCCCACAAACAACAGACATTTGTTCCTCCCATTTCCAGAGACGGGGGGCCCTCGAGCAAGGCGCTGGCTCTGGGTGGCAGACGGCCTTTCCACCGTGTCCTCACTGGGCGCGAGGGGCCGGCGAGCCCTCTGGGGTCCCTTGTCCCATTCACGAAGGCCCCGCCCTCACAGCCTCATCGCCTTCCAAAGGCCCGACCTCACCACCACCTTGGGGTCAGAAATTCAACCCATGAATTCGGCGGGGGTGGGAGAGACATTCAGGCCGTAACGTCACATGAAGCCAGTGTTGGGGGACAGTGCTGAGCCCCAGGCGCGTGGAGGGGCTGACGCTGCCCTGCTCTCGGCGTTGGACTCCTAATTCCGATCGCTGCTCTTGTCCCGATAACGCAAGTGGGAGAGCAGTGTGCTGTGAACTGGCCGTCGGGGAAAACAGACACGTAAGGAGGCACAGACGGGAGTTTCTGCTCCGTTCCACGGTGTAAATACTCCAGCTGTGGCTGATTTGGGGCACCACAGTCCTGCACATGTCACAGTGGAGGGTGGTGTGTGTGGGATCACCGTCACTCGCCACTGGCCGGTGGGGGCAACACCGTTGGGCCACAGCCATTGCAAGTCAGACCTGGGACAACCTGGGCCTGACGGTGCCTCCCTTGTGCCCTTGTCCCCTTTCCTGCTGGAGATGCCAGCAGGCGCTGAGGTCCTTTGATTACTGTGGTCGGACGTGCGCAGACGCTCGGGCCTGTCCTGTGGCCAGGCCAGCTCTGAGGTTCGAGTGTGTTCAGGACCCTTGGGTTTTGCGATCTCACCCACAGTTCCTGTGCGTCACCCTCAGTCAGGTTCAGACACGGGTGTGGTGCTTTGCACAAACTAATTTGCACTTACTGCTAAGGCTCCTTGAAATACGATGCTACTTTTAATCCGCGTGGTGTATATAGATTCTTCTAAATGGTTAATCTCCTGAGACTGGATAATGAACGAGGCTACCGGCAGAGCCGGAATCAATAGCAATTGTATTTAAAAGCAGCGCGTCCAGGGCTGGGCTCCTGACGCTCGTGGCCGAGGTGACATGTGTCTGTCTTCTCAGATTAAGCGCAGAGCGGGCCGTGAAAGCCAGTTTGTCTCAGGCCACGGTGGAGGCAGGGTGCGTTTCCGCGTGACGCCTTCTCCGTCTGCCGTCTGGCAGGGAGGGTTTGTGGGCGCTCTTTGGAGTCCCCACTGTTTGGTCTGCCCTCTGCTTCCTCCCCTTTGCCTGAACAGGGGAGTGGACAGACGTCCCTGCTCAGCCCTGCTCTGGTGGCCTCGGAGGAAGCATCCGTAGTGAGGGGGACACTGGCTGGAGAGAGGGCCCGGCGGCCCTGGCTCCTGACTCGGGGCCTCCGCGCACGCTGGGGCCTCTGCATGTTTGTCTCAGCGTCGCCAGTGCCTGCTCATCACCGTCCTCTTTCCTGGAAGGACACCCCCTCAGAGGGGCCCACCCCGACGGTGCCCCCTCTCACCCCCCCATTGATTGCTTTCACACTTTGTTATTATTTCCCTGGGAGCATTCATCTGAGCTGCAGTCACCTCATTGTTGGTTCACATGCTTGTTGTCTCCCTACTGGAGTGTCCCCCTTTGGGGGAGGGGCTTATCTTCGTCACTGTCTTGTTCCCGGATGTGTCAGTGCTGCAGGTGTTCAATCAAGTGAATGGATGAGTGAGTGAGTGAATGAGTGAATGGATGAGTGAGTGAATGAATGAGTGAGTGAGTGAGTGGATGAGTGAGTGAGTGAATGAGTGAGTGAGTGAGTGAATGAGCGAGTGAATGAGTGAGTGGATGAGTGAGTGAGTGAATGAGTGAGTGAATGAGTGAATGAGTGGGTGGATGAGTGAGTGAGTGAATGAGTGAGTGAATGAGTGAATGAGTGAGCGGATGAGTGAGCAGATGAGTGAGCGGATGAGTGAGCGGATGAGTGAGCGAATGAGTGAGTGAATGAGTGGATGAGTGAGTGAATGAGTGACTGAGTGAATGAGTGGATGAGTGAGTGAGTGAATGAATGAGTGAGTGAGTGAGTGAATAAGTGACTGAGTGAATGAGTGAGTGAGTGAATGAGTGAGTGAATGAGTGAATGAGTGAGTGGATGAGTGAGTGGATGAGTGAGTGAGTGAGTGGATGAGTGAGTGAGTGAATGAGTGACTGAATGAGTGACTGAGTGAATGAGTGAGTGAATGAGTGGATGAGTGAGTGAGTGAATGGATGAGTGAATGAGTGAGTGAATGAGTGAATGAGTGAGTGGATGAGTGAGCGGATGAGTGAGTAGATGAATGAGTGAGTGAATGAGTGACTGAGTGAGTGAGTGGATGAGTGACTGAGTGAAGAATGTTCTGTGATACCCAATTTCCAGTGTGTGGCCTGGTGAGCCTCCCTCCCTCTGTTCGTGGGGTTCCGAGTTCTCGCTGGGAAGAAGGGGGTCGGCCTGGACCTCTGCGGTCCCTGCAGAAACCCGTCCTCCTCCCCGCCTGCTAACCCTGGTGCTCGGAAGGCTCGCATCCTGGTGCGTTGTCTGCAGGACCTGAGATCCTTCCCGCCGGGCTCTGGCCTCGGTCTCTGGGTCGGTCCCTTGTGCGGCCTCTTTCCGCCGTGACCGTGGGGCCTGTGCTCGGGGGCGGGGAGCCGCCGGCAAACACTGACCCCGAGCTTTGCGTCACTCTGCGGCGTGGCTGGAGGCTGGCCTGTGGCGGGGCTTCCTGCTGAGTGAGGCCCCCGAGGGCTGCTGTTGGTGGGAGCCAGGGGTCTGGAGAACTGGGGGTGGAAGTCTGGAGCTGGCCCAGGGCGCAGGCTCCACCGCGAGGGGCAGGGGAGGGGAGTAACTTGTCCCATCAGGCGACTGGTGTCCCAGTGCTTCCCGCAGGGTCGCTGCCCCCCCCACGGCTGCAGCACTCACCCCTCCCCTCTCAGCCCCGGGCGCTAACGAGGCCTCCGTCTGTGAGGCTGATTAGGAGAGTGAAGTGCACAGAGAGGGGCGGGAGCAGTGACGGGCAGCTGGAGACGTAATCCCACGTCAGGTGGTGCCACGTCAGGTGGGTGTCGGCCGGAACTGCTCTTTGGCCACGACGCGCAGGCCGGGGGACCTGGCCTGGGTGATTAGTTAGCTCTCGCCCTTTGGAATGGTAACCACAGGACTCGGGACAGGGCGACGCTCCTGGAATCCTGTACTTATGATGCTACACATTTGAGGGGCTCCGAGTGAACTGCGGCTCTGGAGTGCCAGGGCACAGGGGACAGCTGGTTTCAGTGACAGCCGGGCCGAGGTGCCACCCACAGGCACGGGGATAGTTCTGCGTCCTGGGGGGCGGTGTGTGGGCTTGACTCAGCTTGAAACGGGGGTACATCCTCCCTGCCGGTTTTTCTGGTATTAAAGGCTTCAGTGTAATGTTTCCAGGGGCCCCCTTGGTAGAGGCAGGTGTTTCTCACGTGGGGGGAAAGAGGAAGTTCTGACTTTGGAAGCACTGGTGTCGGGAGCCACGGCCCCGCCCCCTGGGTCCACAGGGGTCATCGACGCAGGGGGTGGCTCATGCTGCCCAAGCTCAGATCCTGACCCT